ATTTACAAACCATCAACTGTAAGAAAACAACAAACATGGACTACAAACCATCACATTTAAGAAAACAACAAACATGGACTTTACAAACCATCACATTTAAGAAAACAACAAACATGGACTACAAACCATCAACTGTAAGAAAACAACAAACATGGACTACAAACCATCACATTTAAGAAAACAACAAACATGGACTACAAACCATCAACTGTAAGAAAACAACAAACATGGACTACAAACCATCATCTGTAAGAAAACAACAAACATGGACTACAAACAATCAACTGTAAGAAAACAACAAACATGGACTACAAACCATCACATTTAAGAAAACAACAAACATGGACTACAAACCATCAACTGTAAGAAAACAACAAACATGGACTACAAACCATCAACTGTAAGAAAACAACAAACATGGACTACAAACCATCAACTGTAAGAAAACAACAAACATGGACTACAAACCATCAACTGTAAGAAAACAACAAACATGGACTACAAACCATCAACTGTAAGAAAACAACAAACATGTAATTTACAAACCATCAACTGTAAGAAAACAACAAACATGTAATTTACAAACCATCAACTGTAAGAAAACAACAAACATGCAATTTACAAACCATCAACTGTAAGAAAACAACAAACATGGACTTTACAAACCATCAACTGTAAGAAAACAACAAACATGGACTTTACAAACCATCAACTGTAAGAAAACAACAAACATGTAATTTACAAACCATCAACTGTAAGAAAACAACAAACATGGACTTTACAAACCATCAACTGTAAGAAAACAACAAACATGGACTTTACAAATCATCAACTGTAAGAAAACAACAAACATGTAATTTACAAACCATCAACTGTAAGAAAACAACAAACATGTAATTTACAAACCATCAACTGTAAGAAAACAACAAACATGTAATTTATAAACCATCAACTGTAAGAAAACAACAAACATGGACTTTACAAACCATCACATTTAAGAAAGCAACAAACATGAACTACAAACCATCACATTTAAGAAAACAACAAACATGGACTACAAACCATCACATTTAAGAAAACAACAAACATGGACTTTACAAACCATCACATTTAAGAAAACAACAAACATGTAATTTATAAACCATCAACTGTAAGAAAACAACAAACATGGACTACAAACCATCAACTGTAAGAAAACAACAAACATGGACTTTACAAACCATCAACTGTAAGAAAACAACAAACATGTAATTTATAAACCATCAACTGTAAGAAAACAACAAACATGGACTACAAACCATCACATTTAAAAAAACAACAAACATGGACTACAAACCATCACATTTAAGAAAACAACAAACATGGACTACAAACCATCAACTGTAAGAAAACAACAAACATGTAATTTACAAACCATCAACTGTAAGAAAACTACAAACATGTAATTTACAAACCATCAACTGTAAGAAAACAACAAACATGTAATTTACAAACCATCAACTGTAAGAAAACAACAAACATGGACTTTACAAACCATCAACTGTAAGAAAACAACAAACATGGACTTTACAAACCATCAACTGTAAGAAAACAACAAACATGTAATTTATAAACCATCAACTGTAAGAAAACAACAAACATGGACTTTACAAACCATCAACTGTAAGAAAACAACAAACATGGACTTTACAAACCATCAACTGTAAGAAAACAACAAACATGTAATTTACAAACCATCAACTGTAAGAAAACAACAAACATGTAATTTACAAACCATCAACTGTAAGAAAACAACAAACATGTAATTTATAAACCATCAACTGTAAGAAAACAACAAACATGGACTACAAACCATCACATTTAAGAAAACAACAAACATGGACTACAAACCATCAACTGTAAGAAAACAACAAACATGTAATTTACAAACCATCAACTGTAAGAAAACAACAAACAAACATGGACTTTACAAACCATCAACTGTAAGAAAACAACAAACATGGACTTTACAAACCATCAACTGTAAGAAAACAACAAACATGTAATTTATAAACCATCAACTGTAAGAAAACAACAAACATGGACTTTACAAACCATCAACTGTAAGAAAACAACAAACATGGACTTTACAAACCATCAACTGTAAGAAAACAACAAACATGTAATTTACAAACCATCAACTGTAAGAAAACAACAAACATGTAATTTACAAACCATCAACTGTAAGAAAACAACAAACATGGACTTTATAAACCATCAACTGTAAGAAAACAACAAACATGGACTACAAACCATCAAATTTAAGAAAACAACAAACATGGACTACAAACCATCAACTGTAAGACAAATACAAACATGTAATTTACAAACCATCAACTGTAAGAAAACAACAAACATGGACTTTACAAACCATCAACTGTAAGAAAACAACAAACATGTAATTTATAAACCATCAACTGTAAGAAAACAACAAACATGGACTTTACAAACCATCAACTGTAAGAAAACAACAAACATGTAATTTACAAACCATCAACTGTAAGAAAACAACAAACATGGACTTTACAAACCATCAACTGTAAGAAAACAACAAACATGGACTACAAACCATCAACTGTAAGAAAACAACAAACATGGACTTTACAAACCATCAACTGAAGGAAAACAACAAACATGGACTTTACAAACCATCAACTGTAAGAAAACAACAAACATGTAATTTATAAACCATCAACTGTAAGAAAACAACAAACATGGACTTTACAAACCATCAACTGAAGGAAAACAACAAACATGAATATTAGAAGCCTTTAACTTAAAGAAAACACCAAACATTTACATAGCAAACTATCCAATGTAAAAAAAAAAAAAAAAACATAAAACACAAACCGAAAGACAACTCAGGCCAAGTTTCCATAGAAACATCGAGCACATATGTCTTTGTGTGCTTCAGTCTAACTAAAGCAACAAACGTTTTACTGTTTAGTGGTAGTAATTTATAAATAGACATTCCCATACAAACATTCTCATACAGACATTCCCATATAGAAAAATTTCCATACCGATTTCCAGTACATACACACATATTGATGCTATCATGAACAAGGTGGCCAAACCAGCATCAACAAAATCACTTCCAAAAACATCCCATGCAACCATTGCCAGGTGACAGGCTGAACAACTTACAACATGCCATACAACCACTGCCAGGTGACTGGCTGAACAACTTACAACATGCCATTCAACCACTGCCAGGTGACTGTGACAGGCTGGAAAACTTACAACATGCCATACAACCACTGCCAGGTGACTGGCTGAACAACTTACAACATGTCATACAACAGTTGACTGGCTGAACAACTTACAACATCCCATACAACCACCGCCTGGTGACTGGCTGAACAACTTATGCCATACAACAGGTGACTGGCTGAACAACTTACAACATGCCATGCAACAGGTGACTGGCTGAACAACTTACAACATGCCATACAACAGGTGACTGGCTGAACAACTTACAACATCCCATACAACCACTGCCAGGTGACAGGCTGAACAACTTACAACATGCCATACAACCACTGCCAGGTAACAGGCTGAACAACTTACAACATGCCATTCAACCACCACCAGGTGACTGGCTGAACAACTTACAACATGCCATACAACCACCGCCAGGTGACTGGCTGAACAACTTACAACATGCCATACAACCACCACTAGGTGACTGGCTGAACAACTTACAACATGCCATACAACCACTGCCAGGTGAAAGGGTGACAGGCTGAACAACTTACAACATGCCATACAACCACCGCCAGGTGATTGGCTGAACAACTTACAACATGCCATACAACCACCGCCTGGTGACTGGCTGAACAACTTACAACATGCCATACAACCACTGCCAGTTGACAGGCTGGAAAACTTACAACATGCCATACAACCACGGCCAGGTGACAGGTTGGAAAACTTACAACATGCCATACAACCACTGCCAGGTGACTGGCTGAACAACTTACAACATGCCATACAACCACTGCCAGGTGACAGGCTGAACAACTTACAACATGCCATACAACCACTGCCAGGTGAAAGGGTGACAGGCTGAACAACTTACAACATGCCATACAACCTTTGCCAGGTGACTGGCTGAACAACTTACCGTCTGATTTGTGGTCGCTGTGTTGGTTTCTGGTGTTGTTATGATTTCACTGCTCACGGTTGGGTATATGGCTGCTGTTGTTGTGTCACTGTTAGCCGATGCATTTGTGGTTGTTGCTGTTGTTTCACTACTAACCGTTGGATATGTGGTTGTTGCTGTTGTTTCACTACTAACCGTTGGATATGTGGTTGTTGCTGTTGTTTCACTGCTCACAGTTGGGTATATGGTTGTTGCTGTTGTTTCACTGCTAACCGATGGATAAGTGGTTGTTGCTGTTGTGTCACTGCTTACCGTTGGGTATGTGGTTGTAGTTGTTTCACTGCTCACCGTTGGGTATATGGTTGTTGCTGTTGTTTCACTGCTCACCGTTGGATATGTGGTTGTTGTTACACAAGTGCCGTTACTAACAATGGTGACCTGACTGTAAGGTGACCCGCGGCAGTTGCTGACTCTCAGCTCACACGCGTTGCCATAAGTCTGTCCGTCAGATGCACAGACTGGGTCGTAGATTCTGGTGCATACAAGAGAACATTCTCCGGGCGGGGGAGTTGGTACAGTCTGAGAGATACAGTTGTGAAATGTGGGTTAGTACAGTTTGAGATTTGTAATTTGAAAACTGCGGGCTGGGTATAGTCTGAGTGGTACGATTGTAAAATGTGAGTTCGTTAAAGGTTGATTAGTTCAGTTGTGTAATGTGGATTATGTACAGTATTAGAGGTATAAATGTGTAGTGTGGGTTAGGTACAGTCTGAGAGGTACAATTGTGAAATGTGGGTTAGTACAGTCTGAGAATTGTCATTTGAAAACTGTGGGCTGGGTATAGTCTGACTGATACAGGTGAGTTCGTTACAGGTTGATAAGTTCAACTGTGTAATGTGGATTATGTACAGTCTTAGAGATATAAATGTGTAGTGTGGGTTAGATACAGTCTGAGAGGTACAATAGTAAAATGCATGTGGATTTGGTCCAGTCCTAGATGTAAAATAGTGAAATGTGGGTTATGTACAGTCTGAGAAGTACAACTGTAAATGTACCTTCATACTGTCTGATTGTGTAGACAAGAACAACAATATAGATACTGTCTGGCAGCCACAACGATAGCCCATGTGAAGAAGCCAAAGAGAATAACTACTATAGGAGTTTCTACAAGAGTAGAATGTTGAATGTTAAATTAAGAATCGACATCACTCGGGACACTCCCATAAGCTTTCTCTTTCTCCAGCCAATTCTTCAGCCCAATGTGCTTTCATTTCCAATGTCTTTTACTGCAGGCGTGAAAGTTTCTCAGTGTCTAGCCAATACTTCAGCCCAATGTGCTTTCATTTCCAATATCTTTTATTGCAGGCGTGAAAGTTTCTCTGTGTCTAGCCAATACTTCAGCCCAATGTGCTTTCATTTCTAATATCTTTTACTGCAGGCGTGAAAGTTTCTCTGTGTCTAGCCAATACTTCAGCTCCATTTGATTGCTCATGACCTGTATCCACTTTCACGGAGGTCGGTCTCTGTCTCGTCGTCCGGAAACTGCAGCCTCCATTAAAGCTGGCTACTGGCCATCTTGGCGCTTGACTAAAATACTTCAGCGATGGGAACAAGATGATGCTGTTTATGAGCCTATTCTCCCTGACGGTCAGGTCAGAAGTTTTTCTTTTTTTCTTTTTCTTGGTCCATGGTATTGTCATAATTTTTCTTTAAAGATTGAGTCAAGTGTTCACGGTATTGTCATAATTTTTCTTTAAAGTTTGAGTAAAGAGCCCATGGTATTGTCATAATTTTTTTTTAGCCATTGAGTAAAGAGCCCATGGTATTGTCATAATGTTTCTTTAAAGATTGAATCAAGAGTTCACGGTATTGTCATATTTTTCTCTAAAGATTAAGTCAAGAGTCCATGGTATTGTCATAATTTTTCTGTAAAGATTGAATCAAGAGTTCACCGTATTATCATAATTTTTCTGCAGCATTTGGGCTCAGAGGCTTTAATATTTTTCTCTAAAGACTTAGCCAAGAGTTCACGATTCACATTCATGAGTTGCCGCAGAAAAGATGCGTGATCTCAAAACATTTGCTTTATCTTGCTTTCAGGTGCTTGGATATCGGTTCCTCGTGTTATTCAACCTACGAATTGCTAACGCAAGTCTTTTTCTGATTTATTTTGTACAGTTGCAGTCGCCATTGTTGTTCATTATTGAGGCTAAAGCTTCTAAATCTGTGACATTTTCAATCTGTCGTATAGATTTTAGTACACAAAGTAACCTTGATAAGTATACATTTAAAGGTAACGAGGCACACAGAGTGAGGACTACGGCAAACTGTTTGGTCAATCGATCAGACCTCAGAAACGCTCTATAACAGAAATATTGAGCAAATTTAAGTCTTGTCAAAGTAAAATACAACATGGAAAATTACCCTACCTTACAATATCCAGAACCAACTCAGGAAAAGGCAGCCTCTTTTGCAGAAGTATTGTTCAAGACTGGTGTACAATTATCGTACTGGACAATTGCACAATTTTTTACAAGACTAGTACACAGTTATTGAACATGACTAGTGCACAATCATTGTACATAACTAGTGCACAATTATTGCACATTACTAGTGCACAATTATTGTACAAGACTAGTTCTAACTGCAGTATAGTTTTTCATGGAATCAATAAAAGAATTAGAGTAATAAATAAATTTCGGTCGCTAACACAAATATTGAGACGCTAAACCATATCTAAATTCTGATATTTGAGTGTCCAAAGTGGGGGCAAACAATCCTTGTGAAAGAAAACGATACCCCGGGACAGGATATTGTATACTATGAGATTCTGAAAGGAATCTCTCAAAAGGCAATCCAAGTTATTACTACACTATTCAATAAGTTATGGACTACAGGAAATATACAAAAGTCTTGGAAATTAACAACAGTGATAACCATTCTGAAATTAGGAAAAGAACAACATAATTTAGAATTATATAGACATTAAGATATAGGCATTAAGAGATAGGCATTAAGATCTCATCTATGAAATATTCTGGAAACTTTTACAAATAAGAGGCTAAAGTTCTTCTTGGAAAGGAATATCCTATAAACCAATCATAAACCAATCATAAACCAATCCTAAACCAATCAGCCTTTAAAAAACAAAATTCGTATCACTGTTTTAGCTCTTTCATTTTCCAATTAAATCTGAAGCAAAATTTTCAAAAAAGTACATTGCGATTACACACAGTATAATGATTGGATTATACCTGTTGCGATCACATACAAATAAATGATTGGACTATGCATGTTGCAGTCACACACAGATAAATGATTGGACTACACCTGTTGCGATCACACACAGACAAATATCTTTGCTATGCATGTTGCGATCACACACAGACAAATATCTGTGCTATGCATGCTGCGATCACACACAGATAAATGATTGGACTACAAATGTTGCGATCTTATACAGATACATGATTAGACTACACATGTTGCGATCACACACACAGAAAAATGGCTGGACTACACATGTTGCGATCACACACAGATAAATGATTGGACTACATATGTCGCGATCACACACAAATAAATGATTGAACTATACATGTTGCGATTACACACAGATAAATGATTGGACTACATATTTTGCGATCTCACCGAATACATGATTGGACTACACATGTTGCGATCACATACAGATAAATGATTGGACTACACATGTTGCGATCACAGACATATAAATGATTGGACTACACATATTGCGATTACACACAGACAAATGATTGGACTTTGCATGTTGCGATTACACACAGATAAATGACTGTACTATAAATGTTGCGATCACACACAGATAAATGATTGGACTTTGCATGTTGCGATCACACACAGATAAATGATTGGACTATACATGTTGCGATTACACACAGATAAATGACTGTACTATAAATGTTGCGATCACACACAGATAAATGATTGGACTTTGCATTTTGCGATTACACACAGATAAATGATTGGACTTTGCATGTTGCGATTACACACATATAAATGATTGGACTACGTATGTTGCGATTACACACAGATAAATGATTGGACTATACGTGTTGCGATCACACACAGATAAACGATTGGACTACATTTGTTTCGATCACACTCAGATAAATGATTGGACTATACATGTTGCGATCACACACAGACAAATGATTGGACAACACATGTTGTGATCACACTTAGATAAATGATTGGACTATACATGTTGCGATCACACACAGATAAATGATTGGACTATGCATGTTGCAGTCACACACAGATAAATGATTGGATTACTTACCTTAGGGTATGGTGTGTTGGGGTTTGAAGTAGTCGTGATGTCACTGGTATCACAGGTCCCGTTACTGGCTAGAATGACCTGCTCGAAAGGAGAGCGTAGGCAATTCTCGGCCCTCAGTACACAAGCATTGGGGTAGGTGCTTCTATCAGAGCCACACACGGGGTCAAAGTTGAAGGGACAACCAAGCTGGCAGACTTCCGGTGGAGTGACATCCGTCTGCAATTACAATAATGATCATAGACTCAGTCTAGCATGTGTGGATGTAAACATATACTCAGTCTAGCATGTGTGGATGTAAAGATATACTCAGTCTAGCATGTGTGGATGTAGACAAATACTCAGTCTAGCATGTGTGGATGTAAACATATACTCAGTCTAGCATGTGTGGATGTAAACATAGACTCAGTCTATAATGTGTGGATGTAAACAAATACTCAGTCTAGCATGTGTGGATGTAAACATATACTCAGTCTAGCATGTGTGGATGTAAACATAGACTCAGTCTATAATGTGTGGATGTAAACATATACTCAGTCTAGCATGTGTGGATGTAAACATATATTCAGTATAGCATGTGTGGATGTAAACATATACTCAGTCTAGCATGTCTGGATGTAAACAAATACTCAGTCTAGCATGTGTGGATGTAAACATATACTCAGTCTAGCATGTCTGGATGTAAACAAATACTCAGTCTAGCATGTGTGGATGTAAACATATACTCAGTCTATAATGTGTGGATGTAAACATATACTCAGTCTAGCATGTGTGGATGTAAACATACACTCAGTCTAGCATGTGTGGATGTAAACATATACTCAGTCTAGCATGTCTGGATGTAAACAAATACTCAGTCTAGCATGTGTGGATGTAAACATACACTCAGTCTAGCATGTGTGGATGTAAACATATACTCAGTCTAGCATGTGTGGATGTAAACCATACACTCAGTCTAGCATGTGTGGATGTAAACATATACTCAGTCTAGCATGTGTGGATGTAAACAAATACTCAGTCTAGCATGTGTGGATGTAAACATATACTCAGTCTAGCATGTGTGGATGTAAACATATACTCAGTCTAGACTGTGTAACACTAAACAAAGTCTTAGTCTGAAGTCTGTGATGTGGCTTCATCTCCCAAACACTTCACAACATGATATCTTCGGGACAGTCGAGCAGGAGAGGCAGAACCAGATCCCTCACACATACACGAATATGCTCTACATACCGTAGTATTGGTGGTGTGGGCGAAAACGTAAAAGGATCTCACACACACACACACACACACACACACACACACACACACATAACAACATGCCGCGGTGTCTGGGGTGGAGGAGAACATCACAAGATTCCCCAGACATACACAGACACCCACACAGACACACATACACTCCCACACCCACACACACACACACATACACACACTACATACCGTGGTATCTAGTGTGTAGGTCGAAGTGACATCACAAGATCCAATCTTGGCGACCTTGATTTTCTGATTTGGAGACCGCCGACAGTTGACCCTTGACAAAGTACAGTTGTTCTCATACGTGACGCCGTCAGTGCCACAGACAGGTTGGTAGATGTCCTTACAAGGGAATTTGCAGTCTCGCGGGTACTGGCCGCTAGCCTACCATAGATCATCCAACACAAAATATTAGACTTGCTTCTTGGCTGTGCCACATCCGGACATCAAGCTACTACTGAATGTATACCAATATGATGTTAGTAAGAACATCGGTTAGTGAATTCACCAAAAATAATCTGAATGTGATTTTGGTGAAAATAAAGGGTAGACATCAAAAGAGCTTATTAATCCGACACATAAGGTCGCAAAAAAAAAAAAAAAAAAAAGCAGCGGGTGACACTTGAAATTCTGCAGTCGACGGATGAAAGAAGAAAGAAAAAGAATGATAACGAAAAAATAAAACGATTTAACGAACAATTTTTTTTTAGAAGAATATTCAGACCTGTTCAAGTTTCCAGGCCCAGGCTTGGAGTAACCCAATGATTCACAACGTAGGAGAGGGCCAGCGACCTGAATTGGCATGAATGGCAAGGAAAGGTATTCTAACCGTGAGCCTGGAAACGTGAACAGCACAGAATATTCTAGTGTACATAAAGAAATAGTAAACATATGCAAAGAGTCTAAAGAAACTTGACTGACTAAGATGTGCGCCGAAACTAAGTCAGAACACCAACAGATACACGCTGTTTTAGATCGTAGATAGTGGAGGGAGTGAGGCACGTGATGATGATAATGATGATAGGAACAATAATGATGACAACTGTATATGTGTGTGTCTGTGTGTGTGTGCGCGCGCGCATGATTTTACTCTAAATCTGGATTGACAGCTTCCATGCTGTGACTATTTCATATTTTGTCTTAGATGTGTATGTGTTTTTTTGTGATCCAACTTGTCGCATGTTGTGTGAGATATTAGCACGGGAAACATGTGTACTTGAATGCTAGCCAAGAGATTGGAACTGTTGTCTGTGTTTGTGATCCAACTTGTCGCATGTTGTGTGAGATATTAGCACGGGAAACATGTGTACTTGAATGCTAGCCAAGAGATTGGAACTGTTGTCTGTGTTTCAAGTTATTTCAGCGAACACTACACTCAAATATTTTACATCATCACAATTCTCTTTTTCACATACACACATGCAAGCACACGCACAGATAGTATATTTGAAACAGTTTGGCGCCAAGAACTTACCCAGGAGACAAGTGCAACCAGCGTCAGCATTAGGAACCTCTTCTCTGTCATTGTAGTTTTGTAAGCGCTTCTTTACTTTCTTGTGTCCAACTTCTGAGTATCTTAAACCTACTAGCTTCTAGTGTCCAACTTCTGAGTCTCTTAAATCTGGTAGCTTCTAGCGTCCAGGGGTTGAGCTTGCGGCAATGTTGGATACAGCCAGGGAACAGAGTGTCGTGCCAGTCCTTGAGTGTGCTCCCACTTTCCTTTTATACCAAATTTCTTGTTTTTCCTGCCCAAAACTGGGCAAGCGTTTAAACAAAACACGTCAACTAGCATTAATTACCGCGAAAAAAATGGATCGGCTTTGGAGATAAAGATCTGCAGATTTGAGCTGACAAAAAGAGATGTGAGAGCAAAAAACAGATGAGTTTCTTAGTGCAGGATGCATGGCCTGCAGCAAATATCCAAACCAATCAGGATAATTTAATAATAAAACTTGCGCAAGTCGCTGTCGGTGAGAATACGGATATAGGTAACTGCTTGTTACGAGGCTGTCGTGTCAACCAGCGGCTGTGTGATGTTGAAGTTAGAGATCTACTTCAACGATAAATATAAAGATTTTATTAGACCATAAATAAACTGGCAGGTCACGCAGAAGTCCTCGCACCAAAATAGTGTATATTATAAAAATGAGTCACAACGATAAGGTCGTCACCAGGTCTGATGGTAGGGACCTGTTCAGTCCTCTAGCTAGGCGTAGACCCACTGGTCTAAATTAACGAACGTACTAACGTTTTTTCAAAGAGTCGCAAAATAGACACGCAAGCATGTCTTACATTTGGCCCTTCCGGACACCCGTCTTTCTCACAGCAGTTGTATTTGATCAACAAAGCATGTCATGTTCAGATAATGTGCATAATATAAATATTAGAGGAAAAAAAACACACAATAAAAGCACGGGTGGATAAAACACCCACACACAAAGGCCACCCACTCACTCGCTCACTTACACACAGACATACATATACACACACATACACACAAACACACTTATATACATGAACATACCTATATACATACATACATACATACATACATACATACATACATACCAGACATACATACATACATACATACATACATACATACACTAACATACACTACATACATACACATATACATACATACATACATACATACAGACATACAGACATACAGACATACAGGACAGTACATACATACATACATACATACCGAAATACATCCATACATACACACATACATACATACATACATACATACATACATACATACATACATACATACTA